TTCCCTCAGTTAACTTCTACCCTGCAGCTGATATCTCCAATTGATGACACTGAGAAGAGTTCGCACCAAACCCAGCAGCAGATGAATATGGACAGGACTCCATTCTCCACTGAAGCTGTTTCTTCATTTTGTTGACATTTAATTTCATGTTTAGTGCAGCTCTGACACCAGCAGCCCATATGGAGCAGCCATATTGGAAGTTGCATATGTTGTGCTGCAGAGAATCACGCGTGCTGTCAGTCGAACACGAGACACACGATGAGCTGAAGGATGAGTCAGTCTGATCAGAAAGTGTTTTCCACTTTCAAGTTAATGAGCAGAGAAGGAGAAAAATAAGCTGTTGTGTCGATCAGCAGGTGAGAAGAAGAATGTGTCTCGCAGGGTTTTTTTGTCCTGACTTCAGACTCTCAGGCAGAACTTCCTAACAGGCAGCTGAGCCAAAACCATCTGTTAGGACAAAAATAACCAGGAAGACTTGGCAAAGTAGACCTATAAATGTGGTGAAATTAAAAACTGACACTGGAGATAATAAGCTCCAGTGAGAGTTAAGTAAGCCAATCGCTTTTTATTTTTTCTAAATTCAGTTTGTAGGGGAACCTTGCTTCCTACCATACTGTATATAAATCAAAAGGTTCCTTTTAGGTATTAGAAAAAATGTTTAGTTTTAGTCATTTTAAAGACAGTCAATAGGAGAAGATTTGTAGTAAAGCCAACATGTGTTTAACCTCCGTTCTGATTACCTATACTGTGTTGCCGAACTCTTCTCATTTTCATAGTTTTCTGTTTCTGTTGTCAAAAAATGACAGCGATTTGATAAATACTACCAGTTAACCAACATTCTAAAGCTGCTGTACCTCAAGGTCCAAGGTTTTATTTGTCATTATACAACTAGGGACTTTTTTAGTCCCGATACCGATACTTGGGCTTTGGGTATTGACAGATGCTTAGTAGTGATCCAATACCTGTGTAAAATGAACAAGCTGTATTCGTCACTGTGAAGAAGAGACTGGGAATCATTATTTCATGTGGAAGGTTACATCAGGCTTGATCAAATTTTAAATAGCTCCAAACTCATGACCCTTTGTTTTTAGCTCCCTCCAAGCTATGCTAGCTCTCCTAGCAAAATGTTTAGATGTACTGGCTGATGCATTGTGTAGTACGAGCATATTTGATCATTTAAAAATTGTGGAGATTCGAAAATCTTATTGTTGTTGTTTCTATATTTGGGAGAAACAAGTTTTTTTATTCAAGACTGGCAACTAAACTTAATATATCAGCTGACATGATGTTTAGAGAAAACAAAACACTTTTTGATTTGATGAGGAAAATAACGATGATTAAAAGTTTGTGACTTGAGGATAATTGAGAGGATTTTAGGATTCGCTCCTCTTCACAATCGCAGGGGCGTTTATGGTCCTTCATCTGGACTGAATTGTCTGGTGTGTGTTCTCTAAGATTAAAATGTTAAAATCTGTGGTATCTCACATTTTTAAAATCTTTTTTAAAAGATTTGAAAATCCTCAAGTGTGCACCAGGTATAAGATAACTAGTGACTGAGTAGGACATTTTGCAGTTAAAAATTAACTAAACCAGCTGATTGTAAGTTGGGAAAGAAAGAAGACAGCAGCTAAAAGTTTGTTCATTATGACTCTAGATGGTGAGTTTGAAACTCTGGCAGCTACAAAAGCACCATTTGGGACAACAGTGAATTTTGAGAAGCACAAGCTCAGGAAAACAAACAAACTATCGGCTGTCGTTTTGGCAAAGGACAAAGCAAGATGTCAAAATCACAGCATCAGACAGGAGAGCTGAAATGTATCCAAACAGCTCTGAAAGAGGAAAAAGGTCGACAACTATGAGGTCCAGACTGAGAATATTAATTACTGCTTCATGACACAACATCATCAGTTAGAAACAGACAGACCGTCCAATCACCTCTCAGACCTCTGAACGCACCAGCAGTGATAATCAGATAGAGTGTGAGACTATTAATTACCTGCTGCTTTATTAAATCACACCCTGACTGGATGCAGCTGGATTCAATACTGACCAATAAATTATCACAGCAAAATGAACTTGAGGAAGTGTGAGTGACTATATGACTGACAATGAAACCTGACAGACCTTCATGTCTCAGACGCAGTGAAATCACATTTTAAAGGGGCTATATGTAGTTTTTCAATGAAATCTAATTTTTACTTCCTTTTGTCCATGGACTGTAGTTAGAAATGAAGCACACACTTGTTTTCTCTGTTGCTTGCATTAGTCACTATTCTGCTTTTAATGTGAAGGTATCAGCTCCCGAGCCTCTCACCTACTACAGTGACATGCAGTCCACCATGAACAACTGGCTCCCAGCACAATACAGACTCCAACATAAACTCCATGTAAAGATACAAAACAACAATAAAGGCGTATGTGCTGAAGCCCATCAGGCCAAACTGAGTTGCTAATGTTATCCGGTGCAAAGCTGTATCGCTTTCCACATGACTTCACCAGCTAATGCAACCCTGTGTACCACCAGTATTATGTCAAAGTGTTGATTTAGCCTGCAAGAAAGGATGTAACTGTAAAAAGCAAATGTGGAGCGATTTGTTTACCAGCCTGTAGTGATGTACGGCAGGGCAGCCAGCTAACGTTACATCAGCTGAGACCTGCCGCTGTTTGCTTCGTAATGTTCAGTTTAGATTTATTGCCGTTTTGCTGATACTCAGGTGCACAGCTTCTCCACCTCTCAGTCACTGTGACTAATGTGACCCACATAATATGCAATAATAAAGCATACTGTAAAGTTACTTACTGCAGTCTAACTGTTATAAAGTGTGGCAACAATCTCATTTATAATATTCAGTCAAGCTCACTAACCGTTTTATTATCATCTAAAACATGTAGCTGTTCTCACATTGCTGAGCCTCCGGTGAAAGATTTACAAAAAGTAAAGTTAGTTACTGAAAAGCAGACAGGCGAGCTAACAATGTAGCACGTCGGCTAAATGCAGTAAATGTACCATTATCATGTAATAAGCATGGATTAGTTCGACCTGCAGCTGGTAAAAATATTACTGTAATGTTGCAGTGGGAGTTTCCCTGAGTTTCCACCATGTTGTGTGAAGCTGTCTCCCTGTCTCTCTATAGTCGCTATCACACTGCCTTTTTTCGGGAGTATTGTGCCAATATGCGACTCGCTGCGCTGTATGAAAGGTACAGAGCTGGTGTTGATCCGCCTCTGAGATGGGAAGTGGCCGCTGAGAACCACATATTAGTAGATTAATTAGGTTTAGGCAAAGATCATGGGATTGGGTTAAAGTAAGTAAATTACGTAAGTCACGTGACGCAAGACATCTACAAAATGTTGTTTAACTTAAAACATGTCAACTTTGACTTTCTTCCACATGGGAATAGAACTTCAGTCTCCTGAGTGAAAATCCTGAGTTTAATTGACACATCCATCCACCCCTCCACCTCCTTACACAGACTTTGTCGCTCTTTATACTAGTGGTCGAAGTTGCTGCATCATCGACCGATATGGCTGTTTCTCTGGAAAGGACGGGCTGCAAAGGGGCACTCTATCAATTTAATAATGCACTTCCATGAAGTTGGAGGTTGTGCGAGAGGCATAATGCAACTGGATAGTGTCTTTCTTTAGAGCCTCCCTGCCTGGGAAACAGCTACATGGACGTCTTTTAAACTCCACAGCCCCATTTTGCAATGTAGACTTTCTGTTCTTTCAGTCTCAGAGTCCAAGCTAAGATTTTATTTTCTCAGACCTGACAAAACTCTTTCAGAGCCACAGAAGGTAATATATAAACTGCTTTCACAGGGTGAGAAGGACTAACCATGATGAGAGCCCCTAATTAAATAATCTTTTTCCTTTTTTCCAAAAAGAGCCATGACAACTGGGCAAACTGGACCAACAACAGAGTGAAAATGGTCAACTACACAGTTCATGTTCATGTTGTTATTAATCAGACATTTCAGAATTTCCAAAATACATTTGCACAACTCCTTGAGCTGATGAAACCCTTTGTAACCTTGTTTTATAGTCTTACAAATACATGAGAGACAGGGCAGCTTTTCTCAATTTCTTACTAGCAGTTTACAAAAGTTTAAAGTTAATTATCAGGTTACTGTTCTGAAAGTATAAGATTTATTTTCTTTTATATTGCAGTAAATTACAGTTGGAGATATGACTTTGAGCTCAGAATTCTTTTTTGATGTTTTACAGATCAAATGAAAGGACTACAACATAAGTGATAGTTAGACTTCTAAAAAAAAATACTAAACTGAATCTATATCTAAACTCTATTAACTTGCAAATGTGCCTTCTTGCAGTGTGACTTCACTGGATAGATAAAAATAACTAAAACTCCACTAAACTCTGTTTCAAAGCCAAATATGCAAAAGGACACAGCAGGAGCAAATCCAAGACCAACGTTTCCTCTGAGCTGCCAGTGTGGTAACCTACTTCAACAAAAAATATCACACTGATCATGCACCACGTTTCATCAGCCATCTGTTGGAGCTCTACTTATGTAATTTTGGTGGGTTTAAGTGGTTTAACTTTTGGAAGCACAAGCATTCACATGACAAAGACAATACACTATAAAACATCTGCAGCTGACACCACAATTCAAACTAACAGACAACTGATATTTGCAGGAAAGTGTTCAGCAGCAGAGATCCTGACTGTGAGGTTGCATAACCCAATGAGCTACAGTGACATACAGCAGGAAACTATTCATTTCCAACAGCAATATTAGGTTATAGCGTCACTGGATTCCCCATCAGTGGAGTACCAGCTCTTGTTAATGGACTGAAAATTGCTGCAAATAAGTTCACTCATTCCAAAGACTCAGACTCTGCAACAGTCAAGTCTTTTCCTACTGCTGGTGACTCCCAGCAGGCCGAGGAGGCTCTCACTCCTCAGCTGCTAGTTTCACCTGAGTAAGCCATTATTAATCACCGCGCACAAGTTGTAAAAATGCTGTTTCATGTACTCACACGAACGCGTGGTAGAGCAGCGCCCATCCTCTCGGCCTCTCCAGCGCGTCATAGAGCAGGTTCTGGATCCTCCTCTTGCGGATGTTATTCCTCTTGGCTGGCCGGGTGTAGTTTAGGGGAGTCTTAGCCAGCAGCCCGATGCCGATGCCCTGAGAGCCCCGCTTGTAGTCATCCCGGCCCGCAGCCACCAGCAGCAGGGCGCCATCCTTGTCCGCAACCCCTGTGCCTTGGTCCAATAAGTCCCCGGGAGGAGCGCCGGAGGTCTTCTTGTGCTCCTCCGAGCCGCTAGCGATGGTCCTGGACCGGAGCCCCATGGTCAGTGCTGAATGCCCGGTGTGGGCAGCATGCCATGATCCGGGCGATGGATCCGGAGACACCCCCTCCTCAGCCGCGGGTCATTTAAGGATGTGGTCCCCGGCGCGAAGGGAGGTGCTCAGCAGTCTGACTGGAAAACAGGGAGGAGGAGGAGGGATGGAGAGAGAAAGAGCAGAGGAGAGAGGGTGTTACATCCGTTATTTTTGGGAAACCATCGGCATCTGGTACATTTTTGGGCGCAGATTGGCGAAAACCGGCAATAGTACATCAACAGGAATTATGCGTAATAATCGCAACAAAAGCAAGAAAAAACACGCCCTTATGTTAAAAACACTATGAGGAATATTACAGTGATATGGAGGCGAGATCACCACAAAGTAGGATAAACTCACTATATAGCACCACAGACGCGTTTAGAGTTCTGTTTTATATGAATATTAGATTTTACGCGACATGAGGCGATCAAACACCAGTCAATGTATTGCTGAAGCCTGTCAATCAATCGATCAATTTAAGATCCAAAAGGGCATCAAGCAACAATTGCCCACTTGCCAAACAACCCTCTCCTAGCCAAAACACACACACTCTGGAGAGACAAAGACCTGGCATTACGCTGCATTCCCCCAAACACAAATACATCACATAAAAGAAACCCAAGGGAGGAAAGCAGCTCTCTGCAGCCACGCCGAGCCCTACCAGCAGCGCTTCCCGTGCATGGCTCGTGTCTCCGGGGCTTCCAGCCTCCATCCACCTGCAGAGGAAGCGGCGCGGGTGCTGAGACGATGGCAGGGTGGAGACGGAGGGTGGCGAGCAGAGATGCTCCGTGAAGGAGGTCGATACTAAAACTAAAACGGAGGAGAAGCAGGAGAAAGGGAGAGGATTGGCAGCAGTAACGCAGACGCGACGTGCGCGCACACTCACACTTACACGCTGGAACGTGTGCACGCGCAGAAAGACACCGTAGGCGACACCTTGATGTGGGCTACTGAGGAGGAAAATATGCACGTTCACAAGGACAGATATGAACAGCCGCGCAAACGAGAACTTAATATGTACAGTCATGCACACGTGTACGCGCGTGGTTGTCTATGCATGTGTATGGACACATTACTTGATTTAATAGACACCTGAACATATTAATACTCCATTACAAGATCTGCATTAAAAGTAAAAGTGCAAAAATATTATTAACAAAATTTAGACAATCAAAAAGTAAAGTTATTATGCAGATGGGCCCCTGTCAGACACTACTGGATCATTATTGGATCATTATTGTTCATGCATTAACATGAAGATGATTGTTGGTGGTGGAGGTGAAGCACTTAAAACTGCAAATATGGCGTACTCTTCGGTAGTTTGATCTGGTACAATCCATCATATTGTACAAGCTGATTATATTTTCTGTTCAAAAATCATCGCTCAACTGAGAAGTGAAAAACTAACTTTAGTCTTCAGATAACTAGCTGAATAAATAATATTGGCCTAATTGTTTAGGTAAACAGTGTTGCCAGTGTAGCTTCTCTCTCTTCATGTAATCCCAGACAGACAGGATGATGTTGAGATCAGGGCTTTGTGGGGGCCATACCATCACTTCCAGGACTCCTTGGTTTGGGGTCATAGTCATGCTGCAGAATACATTTGGGGCCCATCAGATGCCTCTCTTATGGTTGTACATGATGGATAAGTATCTGCCCGTATTGCTCAGTATTGAGGAGACCATTCATTCTGACACCTTGAGATTAAATTTCACATAATTTTCTTTACTAAACTCTGTAGCCAAACCACATGTTCTAAACAACACGTCATCATACATAAACCAAAAAATAGGTAGCAAATGACATATATGACCATTTTCTAAAAGGCTAGATAAAGATTGTGGTTTGGGTTACAATAATGTTATTTACCTTAAAACTCAAACAACCTTGGTCTCCTGTGTGAAACATCCATCCACCCAACCACCTCCTTACATGGACTTTTTCACTCTTTATACTACGTCACATAAATTTTGAGTTCAGACTGTGTTTGAAGAGTGTTGGGAAGTCGCAGAGCTCAGTGAAAAGATCGGGATCACTTTTATTTGGTCCTTTAAAGGGTAACAACATTCAGCAGGCTTCAGTTTATTTCTTTGAGGATTCTGGAAATACCTTCAGAACATAAGTTGTTAAACAACCTTCAAAGGTGGCAGGTGATTTATTTTTTGAAGACTCGACTGTGTAATAGTAACTCATGAGAGGCACAAACAACCAGGCTAGGTAGACTGCTGCTTCTACTGGTTTTATATATTGTATTTTTAAATTCTACTTTAGACTCAGCTGCCATCTGTTTTCCCAAACCTCTCCCACAGACTCATCCGGCAACACTAAATCCTCAGAAATATCACACACTGGAACTTTAATATAACAACAACAACAATAATAATAAGTAATATAAATAATAAATAAATAATAATAAAGCACACTCTTACTCCTAAAAGATACAAATATTCCACTAAAATTTAAAAACATAAATACTATTTCTCTATCAATCTGGGGCAACTTTTGTATTTTATGTTGAATAAAATTCAGTTTAAACAATGAAGAAAAATATACCCTAATAATGCAGTGCGTGGTGTAGGCTGCAATTAAAAAAATGATTAACACAAACTACAACTCTGTGCGTTGTGGCTCAGACAAATGACCCAAACCATTATCCATGTTATTTAGGCCGGCCTGTTAACAACAACCTAGCCAGTAACATGATTCACAAGATGCTTCTCTGCCAGATGAATCTGTTACCTACACTCAGGGGCGTAGCACAAAATTCTGGACCCTATGTACAAGCAGTCTCTGTGGGGCCCCTCCCTCTCTCTCACACATCTTTTGAAAAATAACTGAGCTAACAACTGTACACATTAAACTGTGGTGGTGATTAGGGTAGTCACTAAGGAACTGTTCTTACCACATTTACTTTATCACTTTGTGTTGAATAGCTCCGATTAGGTGCGTGATGATACACTTGGGTCATGAGATGTGATGATGCACGGGAACAAGATTTTAAACACTATTCTGAAGACATATGAAATGCTGAAATATATGAGTGGGGGTACTCCCCCATAAATTTGGAGCACACTTAAACTGTCACGCCCCCCCTGCTGCGACCTAACCTGACTTGTGGAAGACTGCCTTGTGTTTGTGTGTTTTTTTTCCCCTGGGTGTGGCTGCGGTTTTTGGTTTCCGGCCCTTTTCCCCTTTCTCTCTCACCTGCAGGTTGCCAGGAGGTGTGTCAGCTGTGAGGAGCTGATTACACACACCTGCACGTGATTAGCACTCCCTCGGGTTCCTGCCCTACTTAAGCAGCGGCCTGACATCCTGTCCTCGCCGGATTGTTAAGTTGTTTCTGTACGTCTTGGCTACCAGCTCGTTTGGTTAGGAACCATACCTGCACTCTGTTTGTTAAGCTGACAACTAACCTGTTTTTCCTGTGCTCAGGATCTCTACCGGACCCGTCTGTGACCAACTCACCTTCCCCGTCGCCTGGATCTCACTCTCCTGCCTGTTAACTGTTTGCCTCTCTGCCTGGACCCCATCAGCTTCTTTTGCCTGCCTGCCCTGCCTGCCCCGATCCCCGCAGCCACCGCCAGCTCCTTGACTCAATAAATCTCTGAGAACCAGCTCTTGTCTCCAGTCTATTCCTGGGTCTTATCTGAAGCGTGACATAAACACTTAATTTCCTGCATTTTGGAGACATTTTCTGCTCCAATTTACGGTGGAAATGTGGTGGGAACTTGTCCCAGCGTCCCCAGTGTAAATGACACATATGACTACTAATAATCTGTGATTTGTGCTGTGTGAATTGAGAAAATGCTTCCAATACTGCATTATAAAAGACAACTGAACAAGACTTCACTAGAGTCATGAACAAGTCATGAAACAAGACAAAAAAAAACAGATACCCTTACTTTGCCGTATGTATATTTTCAGTACGTATGTATATTCTTTGTGTCCAAACCCACAGTGTAAGTTAGTGGTTCAAAGGCATGTAGCCCTAAAAGCTAAATAATTAATTTAATATAATAAAAATGTATGATGCTGATAAGAAGTTATGTTCTAGCCTATTATGCAAATATGCATCCAGCTAGATTCCTGCCTTCAATCTAAACTGCTGATATTAGCTTAAATCATTCTTTAACTGTGTTAGTTGTGATTGTGCTCACCTTTCTTCTACCGACGCGTTTCTTCTAACTCTGCTCCTGGGACGCACACACAAGGTCACATTCACCTCAGCTCAACTTACCTTTTTTTGTTGTGTGACTTTGCAGAACGAAACTAATTTAAGTAGCCATAAAATTATTCCCTCACCTGGCAGGACCAGAGAAAACCATTAAACCTAAACTCCCCACTCCAGTTTATGTGACGATTAGGAATACAATGTAATTCCACATTGTACCAAAGGGTGTCAGTAGTGGGTTTGGAGGAGCAACAGAAATATGTTTTTAGGTAAAGAGGCTAGTCATGTGTTGTGGTTGTTAACCTGCTAGCATGAGGAATAAAAACCCCGAGAGAATTGTTCAAGAAAAGATGCAGTTCATTTCATCAATAACTATGAACAAAACAGCCACTGAAAGGGAATCCCCGGTCCTGACGTCACTACAGCCAATCCTTCTACGTCACTACCTGACAACAAAGTGTTTCAAAAGTTGTCAATCAATCTAAAACAAGATAAGAACTTATGTAAATCTCTTTAGTTTAATAGGGAAGTTTCATAAAAGTGAACAGTCAACCCCATATTTTAAGTTGTTCTTCATGTAGGCCTACTTTGAGTGTAGGCCTACATGAAAGTCTTTTTGACCTTTTAAGAAATCTATCAGGTATTCATTCAATTACCTCTTTTTTCATCATTAAATTATATCAATTCTATAATTTCTGTTCATGAGCAGGGATGACTGACTGCAAACAAAAATTCTGAATAAAGTTTTTGAAAAAAAAGCGTTGCCAATCAATGTCTTAACAAGAGGAACTCCTAGATTAAACACTGCTAATAACCTGTAGTGGAAAGTTGCTGAGCTAAGTCTATTTACTCTATTTACTGTACTTAATTACAAATTTGAGGTAGTGCCTACTTTTAATTTACGTGTGTATTTAAATTTTTAAGGTACTTTATACTTCTAACATCTCAGAGGTAATAATGGCAGCCAACATTTTTGCCTATTTTTTTTCTGACAGCTTTAGTTACAGTTTACAGACTAAGATTATACAAACAAAATTTATTATGTGATACTAATATCATATAGATTAAACTATCCAACAGTGTATTAAGAAGTTTAAATGTGCTCCATCTTCACCAATTGAAACATTAAAATCCTGCTTACATGTTAAAGCATTAGTAATAATATTCCAACAATATGATATCTGTGCCCAACTTTTACTTCAATACCTTGAGTTAATACTTCAGAGAAAAATTGCATGTAAGACTGTTACAGAGGAGTATTAAGTACTTCTTTCACCACTGCTTCAGATCCAGTTGGATGAGCCCCTAATTTTTCATGGCCCGGCTGTGAGACCAACCTAAAAAAGAGGAGGCAGACACGAGGGATTAACTAAAAGAAAGGAAACTGAAATTTGTAATTATACATTGTGTGCCTGCTGTATTTTGTAATTTAAATTAGGGTATTTAGGGTACATATTATAGTTATGTTATTTTGAAATACGTTTGATGTTCGATGTAAAGACAACCCCGGGTGTCACAATCTGTGTATGAGGAGAGCTTTTGAAAGCGTTTTGAAAAGCAAATAATGTTCTGTATATGCTGACTAAAGAGCACCACAGACACAGCTGTGTATATTTGTGTTTTTTTAATTATACTTCAAATGTCACCCTAAAGTACATAATAATACCAATAATGGTAATAATAATTT